TTATGTCTGGGGCAGTGATGCTCTTCTTATTATTTATTTATTTATTTATTCTTGGGATTTATATCCCGCCCTACCCATACGGCCCAGGGCAGCTAACAGCGGCCAAGCCAAAAACAAAACATAAAATACATTAAAATTTCAATAAATACAAGCTAAAATGGTGCTCTACAATTATTGGATCTTCCTTACATTGTCCAGGTTCTTCCTCAGGGCCTCGTCGGTGCATCCTTTAAGGCACCACGACGGTGGTGGAATAGTGGGGTGGCGGCTCCTATTCGAAAGCCTGGCGGAAGAGCTCCGTCTTGCAGGCCCTGCGGAACTGCACTAGGTCCCGCAGGGCCCTGATCTCCACCGGGAGCTCATTCCATCAGGTAGGAGCCGCCACCGAGAAAGCCCTGGCCTTGGTTAGGGCAAACTTGATGTCCCGGGGGCCTGGGACCTCGAGGAGGTCCAGACTCCCAGATCGCAGCGCTCTTGGGGGAACATGCGGGAAGAGGCGGTCTTGGTGCTTGGGGGGCAACGGTGGGAGGGCTTCTGGAGTTCTGGCCCCGCTAGTGGACCTCCCGATGGCACCTTAGTTTTGGTCACTGTGTGACACAGAGTGTTGGACTGGATGGGCCATTGGCTTCTCTTATGTTCTTATGTGACACTGTGATTTTGCTGAGTGTGTAGCTCAGCTCAGAAAGGAGATTCAGAGGAATGGCGAGATTTGAAACAAGGCCTAGAACCTGGTGGTTGATTCAAAGCGTGACACAGACCGTAAGGAAGAAGATGGTCATTTCTTGGATTTGACTCTTATTCCATTTTGCTTTCAGGCCCATCAGCCTAACAGTAGCCAAATGCTGGGATCCTACCCCGAGGAGTTATTTCACAATCCCCAGGGGTGAGTGAGCAATTATTGTAGCAAGAAGCAACTGCATGGAAGGTCAACAGGTTTCTAAAAATGAAGGATGAACAAGATGGGGAGAGGATGGCTTTTTGCCCTCTCTCCTTGTACTTGGCACTGGGTCACCCAGTAAAACATTGCCAGGAGACTGATGAAAAGAAGCGTTTCTACACATGGTGCATAGTTAACTTCTGGAACGCCTTGCCTCATGATGTGATGGAAAGCACTGGAGAACGCCATGCTTGAATGATTCGCGTTCAAAGATAGAACTTCCATGTTCAGAGGTAGTATATCTCTTTGAGTATGAGATGCTGGGAGCAGACAATGGGGGAGGACTTGAGAACTTCCGGACGTATCTAGTTGGCTGCCTTTGGGACCAAGATGCTGACCTCGATGGAACTTGGTCCTATTCTGCAGAGCTGTTCTTATGAGGTTATGTTGCTAGATCTCATGGGTCACAAGGATCCATTTGAATACATGACCAGCAGGGTTTCTGCACCCGAAATAGGTGCTAAATCCTGCAAGCGCACAGGCCCTGGTTAACTTGCTGGGCCTGACTCTGGCCACGAGGTGTGAGGTTCTAGTTTCAGTACCCAGTGGTCTGTGGTGCTCACTGGGGCAAGAAGGTATAAATTCACAAGGTTCGTTCCCACCCATTTTGGGAGAGCCAATTTGGTGTAGTGGTTAAGAGCACGGACTCTAATCTGGGAGAACCAGGTTTTATTCCCCACTCCTCCACATGCAACAGCTGGTGGTACTTTGGGTCAGTCACAAGTTATCTCAGAGCTGTTCTCTCAAGAGCAGTCCTCGAAAGAGCTCTCTCAGCCCCACCGACCTCACAGGGTGTCTGTCGTGGGGGGAGGAAGGGAAAGGGATTGTAAGCCGCTCTGAGACTCCTTCGGGTAGTGAAGGGCGGGGTATAAACCCAATATCTTCTCTTCTCTTCTTCTTCATATGTGGGGCTGGCACCACATGTAGGACGCTGTCCTGCCCAGGCTGAATGAATTGACTAGGGCAGGGGTCCCCAGCGTTTCTGAGTCCGCAAGCCCCTTTGGAATTTTGACACAGGGTGGTGGACTCAGCCACAAAAGGCTGCTTTAGGAGGTGGAGCCATCAACAAAATGTCAAGGTGTAAGGTTAGGCAGAATTCTAATTGTAGGTCTTAATTTTTAAATAGGGTTGCCAGGTGCTTACCGTCTGCCAGCGGGGGGCTCCAGGCTGCTCCCTGGGATCTTCACCCAGAAATGATGTCATTGTGCCGGGCATGTCATGCAGGGGATGCTCTAGCATTTGCTCCAAAAACTCTATCGTCACCATAGAGGTTTTAGCCAAATGCTAGAGCGTCCCTCGCACCAATGTATCCAGCACGATGATGTCACCTTGCTCCAGGTTTGGTGGGCACGGCGGGGCTCTTCAGGGCCGGGGCTCCCCCCTCCAGCCAGTTGGCCGGCAGCGGATGGGGGGCCCAAAATCTGGGGGAAATCTGCCCCCACCAGGGGGACGACAACCCTATATTTAGAAGGCATCCCGAAGCAGAGCTTCTGCCTGAAATGCTGAACGTATTGTTTAAAATGGTTTTCTTACATACACACAGCTTACTTTCAGCGACGCAGTGGGGATCCTTGCGGTGTGCTGGCAGTCGCTGCCGAAGAAACATTTAAAAAAAAAAAAAGACACAGTCAATCAGATCTCCAGCGGCCAGTCAGAAACCCTGCTGGGGAAAAGCCCCACCTGGCCCCGCCCACTTTCCAAAAATACTTCCGCTACTCCCTCAGTTCTCTTTTTGCCATCGCGAAGAGATGATCTCCACTACTGTTCTCTGTGTTTTTTTCCCTCACTGCAGTTTTGAGACTGAGGAGACTTTTTTCTCTTCACAGTTTTTATTCTAGCGAACAATATAATACATCTAAAGAAGACATGTCTTGTGGGTTTCCACTGTGTCATTATGACTAAAAAATGGTGCTGTTCAAGGACCATTCTCTGTGCCTTGGCTGCCTAGGGGTTCACACAGCAGAGCGGCCTGCTCTTGCTGTCACCAGTTTCCCCTGAAGGCATGTGTGGAAAGAGTTGGACTCAGAAGAGCTCTCTTCAGAGGCTTCCCCCTCCCTGGTGAGGAGGGGTGGAAAAAGAGCCTGGGCCTCAGTGGCCCTCTTCGGAGGTTCGCCTGTGTGCCCAGCAGCCTGTTGAAGGCATATTCCCCCCCCCCTCTCTACTGAGGTGTGGTGGACAGTGAGCCCAGCCTCAATGGCCCTCTTCGGGAATTCGCCTGTGTGGCAGCAGCCTGATGAACACATATTCCCCCCCTCTGCTGAGGTGTGGTGAAAAGGGTGTCAGCGGAGCACCATGTTGGGGTCCCCTGCCCTAGGGGATTCCATCCCAAAGGCCGTTTTACTAACTGTCCCGTTCAGTTCAGTTTATTGTAAAGAGCCATTGGCCGTTACAAGGTTACAAAACCCTCAGCAACAAAATGCAGATTATAAACAAGCTATAGGCTAATATCAGAATATACAGAAGTGCCGAAAGTCAGTAACAAAATGTGACTAATTTAATACCATAACCTAGATAGTGTCCCTTCCTGTTGCCACCTTGGAATGTATATTGTTTGCAGCAAGGGCAAATGATGAAACTTTGTAAGAAACATATGCATCGGTGTCAGATAACAAAAATGGATCCTCAACTGGGTATACACGAAGACCGGATAAAATACTTGCTAAAAATGTAGCCGTCGGACTGGAGTACAGTGAGCAAAAGTGAGGTAAATCCTTGAGTACGTGGGGGCCACAAATACATAGACAATGGGCCAATGGAATCTGATTAAAGCGGCCCTCCAAAATTTTCGTTGGCATTGATCAAAACCGTAGGGAAGTAAAGGACGTTCTAAGTACATATTTGGAGATGCTGACTAAATATGGAGTTCTAGTATGGTCCAATTTGATTAGTTTGTACCATGCTGCTGCTTTTGATTTTAATATCAGTGAGCGGTCTAGCTGGGCGTCAGAGTCGTAAATCCAGTTTCTAAGCTGGAATTTATCAATGGATGCTCCCAAAAGATCATCAGGAATGGAGTATCGAGCAAATGTTGTTAAGAAAATCAAGGCGCTGCAAATCTTTGGCTAACAGCAGGTTAAAGGATTGTTGACTGAGGGGATATTTTACTAACTGTGATCTTCTCCTTTCTCTTTTGCGCGTTCCAGCTGAGCCGGTGCGGCCGATCGACCCCGCGGCCTGGATCTCTCATACCACGGCCCTGACGGGAGCGTACCCCCGTTACGGTATGAGCCCCTCCATGAGCACCATCACCTCTACCAGCTCCTCACTAACAAGCTCAATTCCCGATTCGGAAAGTAAGTCACACTGCCGCCAGAACCGGGAAGTTTTTCGTCCTGCGCAGGGCCGGCAGTGTAGAGCTGTACAAAAACGAAACAAACAAAACAAAAATGCGCAAAAACGAAGAGCGGCAGCAGCAAAACGACTATTTTGATTGGCACTCTGTGGGGAGCATAAAACTTATCTTCCCCATTGCAGAAAGTCTGGCCCTTTAAGAGAGAGAGCAGCTGTGTCACCCAATCAGAACGTCCCAAATGGCCATACAGAATTCTCTTGGAGCCCTTAAAGGGCCAAGCACTAATTTTGCTTTCTCTGCAGTGGAGAGAAAAGGAGTCGCCTCGCATCACTGGCTCATCCAGCCCAGTGTACTGATAGCTGACCGCCCCCCAAATTGATCCCCATGCTGGAGCCAGCATCCTCTCCCCCCCCCTTTTTAAAAAAGATTCTCATTTTCCCCTCTGAGCACATTACAGTATGGACCTCATAAGCGTGCTGGAAACTCATTTGCTTGGGCCAGAGAGTGAAATGACAGTCAGAGATTACGCCAGTGTTGTGGACAGTCCTAGTGAAATCCGGAACCTGGAAGGTGGACTCTTCCAAGCCAGGGTTCCCAAGGCCGGCTGGTCGGTCCACAGGTTGCGTTGGCCTTGAGGTGAACCTCGAATATGCAGTTGAAAAGAGCCAGAGTCTGGTAGCACCTTAAAGACTGACAAAATCTGTGGCAGGGAATAGGCCCTTTCGTGGGTCACCGCTCACTTCTTCAGATACAGCTGGAAGTGAAGAAGTGAGCGCTGACTCACGAAAGCTCCTCCCCTGCCACAAATTTGGTTACTCTTTAAGGTGCTCCTGGACGCTTGCTCTTTTCTACTGCTGCAGACAGACTTGCATGGCTACCCGTCTCGATCTATCTCAGATACGCAGCCAGCAGAAGGTCCTGCTCTGGTTGATCTTGGTCTTTATACCAAGCCTTGACTCATCCAGAGTCCTCATACTGCCTATCAGTTCCAGGGACCGGTGTTGTTGTTACCCCTACTAGTGTAGATTTAAGAAGCTGAATGATTGCCTTCAGTTTCTGGGGGAATTTAGCTAAATGGCAGGCCCCAGCAAGATGTGGGGTATTAGCGAGGACCTGCCTACGTTCACGGGGATCTTTTCCTTTGGAGAACTCTCAAACAATCCGTCCTTTGCTGAACCAAAAGGGTTGTTTTTATTAAAAGAAGAAATCCTAATAAAATGCACACATGCAGAAATACAACACACTCTAAAACGTGCACACAAGGACTGTAAGTAAAGAGGTGAAGCGGGAATAATAGGAGGGCGTTGGGGGAATTAGACCTTACCTGTCCAGGAGATCAGGAGTCCATGGAGCAGAGACTGTGAAGATGGGACGTGACCAGTGTTCCCTCTAAGTTGAGTTAGTGTGAGTTAGCTCACAGTTTTCTAGCCTCCGGCTCACCCGTTTTTGTCTTCGCTCAGGAAGGATGGCTCCGGAGCGGACTGATTTATGCAGCAGCCAAATCGCTCGCTCACACCTTTAACGCCAGCTGTTCAAAAAATAGAATTTTTGCTCACAAGACCCCACAGCTTAGAGGGAGCATTGAACGCGACCCAAATGAATTTGGGGGGTGACCTGTCAGTGTGTGTACGTAAGGGCTGTCTGGTCGCAACCAAATTATGGCAGCCCCAGCAAGGGGCTTTCAAGACAAGTGAGAAGCAGGGAGAGTCTGCCATTGCCTTGCTCTGCAGAGCCTTCCTTGAGGGGTCTCCCATCCAAGTACCGACCCTGTTCAGCTTCCAAGACCTAACGAGATGGGGCTAAAGTAACCATGCTGCCGGGGGCGGATGAACCATTAAGCAGACTAGGCACGTGCTCAGGGCACCAGGGCCAAAGGGGGCACCACAAAGTTGGGGAAAAGGGTGAAAAGCTTAGTTTGTACAGTCTATTGTGTTATCCTATGAATACATTTTCGTATTGCTGCAACCTGCATTGTATATCTGGTCAGACAGGTCAACAACTAAAATGGACTGGGTCAGGGGTCGTTTTGTAGAAAAAGAGCTAGGGGGACTCATTAGCATAACTCATTAGCATATGCCACACCCCCTGACATCACCGGACGTGTGTCATAAGGCCACACCCCCTGACATCGCCGGAAGTGTGTCATAAGGCCACACACCCCGCCCCCAACGGTCCTGGCCACCGCCGGCCTTGCAGCTCCACTGCCGAGCCCCATGAGGGGCCCGGCGGTGGACCTGCAAGGCCGGCGGGAGTGCAAGGAAGCCCCGCGAAGGCCCTCCCTGGCCCCAGGCAGGCAGGGGTGGGGAGAGGCAGGGAGGAAGCAACTTACCCTCCCTCTTCTCCTGCCTCCTCCTGGCTGAATGAGGGCCAGATGCGGGGCGGCCGGAAGCAGGGGGCGGGGCTTCGTCATGTGCCCCGCCCCCCGTACCTCACCCGGGGGAACTGCGATCCCCCGCGATCCCCCCGAAATGACCTCTGGACTGGGTCAGTGTGGAAAGGAGGGGGGGCACCAAGATTGGCCAGTGCTTCGGGCACCAGTGAGCCTTCATCCGCCTCTGGCTTCTGCCTTCCCGCCCTGGCCCTTTCCCCCCTTTGTGCCTTAAAGTGACTTTTTGAAACCTCTGCATGGGTTGTAACTCCCAGGCCCCAGCCTCCACCCACGAGTTCTTTGGTTCAAGCCTCGATCGTTCCTTTTAAAAAGCAGTCCCGCAAAGAGCCGATCGCATCTCTCTTTTTTGGGGGCTGCCGAACGAGGCGACAGCTAGTCTAATGGGTTCGCCTCAGCAGAGAACGGCTTCTCTTTTTGCAGACCGGAATGGGGTCGTTCACCTTCTTTAGGATGAGCGAGGAGGTCTCTTCGTTTGTGGAGAAGAAAGAACGATCAGGGAGAAGAGCACTTGCCATAACTTTATCAAACACCCCCCACACCAAAAAAAAAAAAAAACCCACTCCCCTGTTCGGTGCATTCTTGAGATTGATGGAGTCTCAGATGCCCGCCGATGGTTATCAGCAGACGATCGGAACACGGTTTGCATTCCTTTGGAGACGCAAAACCATCTCAGGTGCCTTTTTATCCGGCAACATGAGCTTGGGAAGGCGGGAGAAAAGGTGCCCTCGTAATCGGACTGCTAAAAGAAGGGTTCCGGTGGGTCGCCGTGTTGGCCTGAAGCCGCAGAACAACGTTTGAGTCCAGCGGCACCTTTAAGACCAAAAATGTTTAATTCTGCTTACACGTTTTTGTGTGCCTGGTCTTAAGGGTGCCACTGGACTCAAGCTTTGTTCTGCAAAAAGAAGGGGCTGGGCTGGAGTTTAAAAAACAACCACCGTGCAGCAGATTTGGCAGGCAGGTACATATTCGAGAAGAGGACAAATAGATTAAGGAAGGAATGGGTGCTTTTGAGAAGAAGCGGCGGGGCCGGGGTGCGTGCACTCCGAGCCAGGAATCTGCGACCTGGATTGCAGGTGTGCGCGGCCCCCCACTTGTTCCCAAAAGCACTTAAAGGGGTCCCTTTAAATGCTTTTGAGAAGTTGGGAGGGCGTTGCACCCTTCTCCGTCCCTCCTGCAAGGTTTCAAGGACCTTCCAGCAATGCTCCCTCTAAGCTGTGGAGTCCTGTGAGCAAAAATTCTACTTTGTGAGCTACCGGCATTAAAGTAGTGAGCAGGTGATTTGGCTACTGCATAAATTAGTTTGCTCTGGAGCCATCCTTCCTGAGCTAAGACAAAAATGTGTGAGCCAGAGGCTAAAAAACTGTGAGCTAGCTCACAGTAACTCAGCTTAGAGGGAACATTGCCCTCCAGCTGATTGGTGGGCCACGTGCTCCCCGCTGATTAGCTGAAGGGCCCTTTAAAACTTGCAGGAAGGGAGGGGGAGAGGCCCGTGCCACCCCCCTTCATTATGGCAAATAATGGCAGCCCCGCCAGAAAAATTTTTTGCCCCACAAGCCACAAAATCCTGGCAACAGGCCTGAGCAGGGTCAGCCCTGGTTAGTAAGTTGGAGGGGAGACCGCCAAGAAAACCCGGGGTTGTTAGGCAGAGGCAGGCAGTACCAAACCACCTCTGTTCATCTCTTGCCTTGAACATTCTACGAACGTATAAAACGCTGCCTTATATTGAATCAGTCCCTTCGTCCATCGCAGTCAGTGTTGCCTGCCCAGACTGGAAGCAGTTCTTCGGGTCTCAAGCAGAGGTTTTTCTCATCACCCGGTCCTTTTTAACTGGAGAGGCTGGGCATTGAACCTGGGACCATCTGCATGCCAAGCAGAGGCTCTACCATTGAGCAATGGCCCCTCCCCGTGGGTCTCCATAAGTCAGTTATGATTTGAAAGCACTTTCTACCACTTTTTTTTTTTTTTGCACACGTGGTCTAAAAGTTGCTTTGTTTAATTTGAGGCTGGGCCTCAACCAGCGTTCCCTCTAAGCTGCGTTAGTGTGAGCTGGGTCACAGTTTTTTAGCCTCCCGGCTCAGACATTTTTGTCTCCGCTCAGGAAGGAGGGCTCCAGAGCAAACTGATTTAGGCAGCAGCCAAATCGCTCGCTCACAACTTGAATGTCAGTAGCGCAAAAAGTAGAATTTTCGCTCACGGGACTCCACAGCTTAGAGGGAGCATGGGTCTCAACTGATAACAGCCACGTTTAGGAAAGATCTGTTTTCAGGAGCACGGCTCCATGCGAACTGAGCCAGGCAGCCCTGAAATCCCGTGCCCAGCCAGCTTTCCTCCCCTGCCAGACGTTCGCAATTCACTCCAAAACAGGGACCAGCTCTCTGGTTTTATTGCTCCCCACACGCTCAAATTGGAATGTCCTTAAATGAAACCACACGTCGCTTTTCCTTGCTACTAACTGAACTAACTTCCAGGCAAAGCCAAAGCGTTGCCGCAGAGCTCTGGCAGCTGATTGCATCCAGGCCCCCAGGGAGCTTTGTGGGCGAACAGCATGTGGTTGATGATGTGTACTGTGTGTTTGGAGGCGCATGGCAAGGAGATGAATGTTCACGGTCTGTCTTCTGGCACACGCTGCTTTCTCTTTTTACAGGCCTGGAAAGGGGTCTGGGGGTTTCTGCCGGTGACGAGGTGTGAATTCAAACCCTGCAGCTGGGATTAGAGTAGGGAGCCTTCTGGTCTGCTCTGTGCTGCCCCTTGTGGTAAGCAGGAGAATTGCAGGCTTGAGGACGCCATGATGTTCTCCTAAGCTCTGGGTAAATCCACCCAGCCGGGCAGCGCATTAGTATCCTCGGTGCTTTGTAGGTGTCTAACAATTGCCACAGTGGCTTGGAGGTTAAGGTGCTGAGATGCAGACCGGAAAGTCACTAGCTTGGCAGTTCGAGACCCTAGTGCCACGCGACGGAGTAAAGCTCCCATCTGTGGCCCCAGCTCCTGCCAACCTAGCAGTTCGAAAGCAAGAAATTGCAAGTAGATACATAGGTACCACTGTGGTGGGAAGGTAACAGCATTCCATGTGCCTCGGCATTTAGTCATGCCGGCCACATGACCACGGAGAAGTCTTCGGACAGCGCTGGCTCTTCGGCTTGGAAACGGAGATGAGCACCGCCCCTTAGAGTCGGATTTGACTGGCTTTCGAGCAAGGGAAACTTTTGCCTTTACCTTTAACAATTGCCAGATCGTGCTTGGGTTTTTCCTGGGCAGTAGTCAGTTTGGTCACACCTCCCTGAGCCTTACCCAAGGGGGAGGGCGGTCTATAAGTCAGATAATTCAATAAATAAATAGTTTGCCTGGTTACTATCCCTGGGTCCTATCCTCCTGCCTACTGGGTTCTCCTTGGGGCCGGACCGCCAGGACTTGTTCTCCCTTCTCTCCACTGTGCCAGCTCCGCAGGTTGCTTACAGCTCAGCGTCCCACTCCCAACTGGGAGCTACTCTTGGGAGCCTCAGTTGGGTTCCTGCAGAGCACATGCATAGAATCATAGACTCACAGAGTTGGAAGGGGTTATACAGGCTACCTAGTCCAACCCCCTGCTCAATGCAGGATCAACCTAGAGCAGTGATGGCGAACCTTTTAGAGACCGCGTGCCCAAACTGCGACCCAAAACCCACTTATTTATCGCAAAGTGCCAACACGGCCATTTAACCTGAATACTGAGGTTTTACAACCCATACATTAACTTAAGATGATCCAAACAAAGTCAGGAAAGCAATCCCAAATGCTTTCGTTTACTTAAAATTATTTGGCAGAGAATTCCACACTTTAATGACAGTCTAGGCTTGGCTGAGGCGATGGCACGTGTGCCCACAGAGAGGGCTCTGAGTGCCACCTCTGGCACCCGTGCCATAGGTTCGCCACCACTGGCCTAGAGCATCCCTGACAAGGGTTTGTCCAGCTGCGGCTGGGAGGGGGAGCTCACCACCTCCTTCGAGGCAGCCGATTCCACTGTTGCACAACTCTGACTGTCAAAAGGGTTTCCCCTTAGATCCAGCCGGTGCCTTCCCGCCCTTAATTTAAACTCATTCTTGCGAGTCCTCTCCTCTGCTGCCAAGAGGAACAGCATCTGTTGGGCAGTCTCTTCTGCCCACCGGTGGCTGACGGTGTGGTCCCAATCCCACGCCCTAGCAAAGGGTAAGCGCTGCAGGCAGATTCAGAGCCTGGCGGATGGTTCGAACTCCAACCCACCCACTTTTTCTTGCCTTTTGCAAAGTTGCAGAATTCTTGGTATAAAATAAGGATTCCATGATTGCAGAATACAGAAATTTTTTTTGGTTAAAAAAGCACAATACTTTTTTCCCTGCCTGCATCAAATCCACGCCGTGCTTGAAATTCCGTTAAAAGCGTAACGGCTGTTCTTGGATCCAGCGCTACCGGAGTTGATTGGATTTGAGTTCTGCCAGCAGCTCTGTAACTAATTGCAGTTTGCGCGCTATAGCTGGGCGGCGGAATTCGGTTTTCTCTCGGCAGGCACCAAATCTGGATTCCTTTTTAGCACTGAGCCTCAGCGGCCCAGGCATTCAAGTTTCCACGTTCTGTGGGTGATCCTTGCCTCCATTTTAGATCAGCCAGGTCCTGTAATGGCTGGGCTGAGCGAAGATTTTGGGGGGGGAGGAAAATCCACATCGCACACACTCCCCTGCTCAGTCCACTTGAAAGTTTTGCACAAGTTGTTTTGAAAGGAATGGGGGTGGTGCAAGGAAACCGCCTCGCATCTTCAGACCGAGCACCAGACACTTGAAGCTGCCTCATACAGACTAGGCCATCAGTCCATGTCTTCTCTTTTCTATCTGGCAACCACTCTTTCTGGGTCTCAGGTCTGGGATCCTTTTAACACAGGGGTCCCCAACCTTTTCGCGTCTGCGGGCATATTTGGAATTCTGACACAATCTGGTAGGTGCTACAGCAAAATGGCTGCCACAAAATGGCCACCACAGGAGGTGGAGCCAGCCACAAAATGGCTGCCGCCACTTCACAGTGTAGATCCTTGTGGTGTGGTGGCAGCTGCTGCCGAAGCAACATTTTTAAAAATCCGTACAGCCGATCTATATACTAATAGCCAAGGCGCCCCCAGCGTGCGGATATCTAAATCCGCACATCGAGGGCACCTAGGGGGCAAAGAGATTTTCCTGCACATTTGGGGCAATCCCCAGATGTGCAGAAAAACCTGAAATCGATAAAAAAAAACTATAGGAGGATACTTAAATCCCCCCCAAAAGTAAAAGAATGTTCCCTGTGCGTGCGCAGAGAACACTCTGAGAACTTCCTCGCCACCACCACAGCCGCCACTGGGGGGGGGGAGAAAGCTTGTCAGACCTGATAGCTGGGAGCCACGTGGGCCTCGCCATTGGTGCCGGGGGGCGGGGATAAGGCTTAGCGGGCCCAGTGGCTGGGAGCCATGCGGGCCTTGCCGTTGGTGCTGGGGGGTGGGGGAGAAGGCTTGGCAGGCCCGGCGGGAGCCGCACAGACCTCACCATTGGTGCAGGGGGGAGAAGGCTTGGCGGACCCAGCGGGAGCCGCGCGGGCCTCTCCATTGGTGCCGGGGGGCGGGGGAGAAGGCTTAGTGGGCCCGCAGGCCTTACCGTTGGTACTGGGGGGGAGAAGGCTTGGCGGACCCGTTGGTGCCGGCGGGGAGAAGGCTTACCTGTGGCTGCTTCCTCCTCCTCCATAGGGTTGCCAAGTATTACCTTGATCCGGAGCGGGGGACTCCCGGGTTGCTCCTGGAGCGCACGCACGCAAAGCGCGTGCTCGCCACATCCACATCACACGGAAGTGACACGATCACGCAGGGCACGCTGGGGGCGGGCGCATAACCATCAGATGGTCATGGCCCCGCCCCCAGTGTGCCCTGCGTGATCGCGTCACTTCCTGGTGACGTTCAGGTCGGGGTGGAGCGCCCCCCAGGGCCCGATCCAGCAGTGGGGAACGGGCCTCTGGGGTGGGGGTTTCCCCACCTCCCAGGGGGACTTGGCAAGCCTACTCCTCCATGTGGAGCTCCTCCCCCCGCGAGTATCGTGGGTCCCCCTTATTGTCAAGTCTCTAATAGCCAATCAGAACCCTTGCTGGGCAAAAGTCTTACCTGGCCCCGCCCACTTCCTAAAAACACTTAGCGGATGCCAGAAAAGGTGTCGGCGGGTGCCCTGGCGCACACGGGCGCCACGTTGGGGACCTCTGTTTTAAAGGGAGAGATGTGACTTCTGCATACAGCGCATTGAAACACAGACTCTTGGGATGTTTCCCCCGGGGCAGGGGGCAGAATCTAAAGGCCAGTCTCGCTAAAACCGGGCCCCATCTCTCTTGTGTAAGCCCTGTTTGTTCTGCTGAGGCTGCTGCAGGCAAGCTTTCGCATGGCTCAGCCCTCACAGGGCGGCTCCGTCCACCTCCCGCTCCAGCAGCCTCCGCTTTCTCTCCCGCTGTGTGCAAAACTGCTTTCTGTCCGTCTCTTGTTCCACTTTCCCCCTTGCATCGTTGACTGAGAAATCTCCCCCCACCCCACCCCTTTTCTGGCTTTCAGAACTGGACGAGTCCCCCTTAACCGTCAAGAGCGACATGGCCACCATTGTCAAGGTGATGCAGTTGCCGGATTCAGGCCTGGAGATCCGGGACAGGATGTGGCTAAAAATCACCATCTCCAACGCCGTCATAGGTGAGTCTCCCCGGCTTTTTGCGTGAAGGTCGCCCTTCGGGATTGTGTTTACAAAGACGTGAACAGGGATGATGTTTGCACTTGCTTTTTTGTTTGCTCAAGAATTCGGTGAGTCAGGAAACTGGCAAAGCCTGCGGACTTTCCACACACGGTGATGTCAGTCCTAACCGCTGTGGGCAAAATGTTCCATTTCTTGTGGGTTTTTTCTTGGGAGGGGAGGGGAGAGGAAACTAGCTGAAGTTTTCTTTAGGACGAGATTGCCTCCTGCTGCTTTGGATGTGCAATTGCAGTTGGCTCACACGATGCTGCGTTGTTCAGAGCGATCTCGGGACCCAGTGATACTTGAGGGCCATTAGTGCGTATCTTTGGCCCCTAAAATTGGGGATTTCCCCCTTTCCATCATCTCCTCCACCAAAAATAGAGCCCGGCTCAGCTGTTTTAAGCCCCAGCAGTTTATGCAGGGGAAGAGGCAGGTACCTATTTTGTACCTACCAGGATTAAAGCAACTTAAAACAACTCCGCAGGGTGGGCGGTTCTGAACAGGGAAACAATGTGGGAGGTGCAGGGGGAGATAAAGCCCTGTTTTCCCCAGAACCCTGATCCCAGTACATCCTGGGTCACCCACTGCTGGGATTTAGGGCCAAATGACACATCTGGAATTCCATCCATCCATCCATCCATCCATCCATCCATCTATCTATCCATCCATCCATCCATCCATCCATCCATCCATCCATCCATCCATCCATCCATCCATCCATCCATCCATCTATCTATCTATCTATCTATCTATCTATCTATCTAGTACTGCTCATACGGCTATCACCTTAAGCAGACATTAGAACCAAAGAAAATATTTTAAAAGTCCTTACTCAGTATTATTTCTCTTATATTTGATTATTGTGCCTATGAATTTTGCCACTGAGAGGGTGACACGATCGTTGGTATCCGGTCGTAGCCATGACACCTGGGCTCGCACATTTAGCAGTTCCATATCTTTAAGTAAAGGGGTGACTAAATTAGACAGTTTAAAATCAATATCTCACTTTATACTAATAAACTACTGTCGATGGCACCAGTAATTTATCTGCTCCCCAAGGCTCCTTATATGTGTGCAGGTAGATGTCACTAAAACTGAGGGGGGACGGACAGACGAAATCAATGCAAGATGGAAAAAACGCAGATGGAACAGAGCGACAGAACGGCAGAGCAGCGGGAAGCCAATACAATTTGGATTCACGCCGCCTCAGACATAGGCCTCGCGGAATATCTCCATTTTACAGGCCCCGTGGAACTGCATTAAGTCCCTCAGGGCCCGTATCTCACTCAGGGGACAGTCCCACCAGGCCGGTGCCAGAGCGGAAAAAGCTCTGGCTCTCATTGACGCTAGGCGGACATCCTTCAGGCCGGGGAATCACCATTTGATGTTGATCTATCGAGCGTAATGCTCTTTGGGGGACATATTAACACTTTCCTCCCTTATGGGTTGCTGTAAGGATTCCTCAGTTGGATACCGCATCTATCTCTTACTACCCCTTTTCCGTCTTACAGGAGCTGACGTGGTCGATTGGCTTTACACGCACGTGGAGGGCTTTAAAGACCGAAGGGAGGCCCGGAAGTACGCCAGCAACATGTTAAAACATGGCTACCTCAGGCACACTGTGAACAAAATCACCTTTTCTGAGCAGTGCTACTACGTCTTCGGAGATCTCTGTGGCAGTAAGTCTGACAGAGAGCTGAGGAGGTTGGCCTCGCCTCAGCCATCCAGGGCAGGGTTGCTGTCCCAATTAAAAAGTCACACTGCGTTGTCTTCTCGTTCTGTAACCCGCCTCGAGACTTCTCGAGGAAGGCAGGCTACAAACGTTAGGAATAAAATTTCAAAAATTATCTTCTGTGAGTCAGAGCGGCGTTCCAGGTTAGTGCATTGACTAAGACTGGGTTGGCTTAGCCACAAAGTTCACGTCGGGCTCGCCACTTTCCCCCCAACTGACCTATCGCGTGAGGTTGTCGTCAGGGAAAAATGGGGGGGGGAGTAGTGCCATATTTGCCATCCTGAGCTCCTTGGAGGAAGGGGGGGAGCCAGTTTGGTGTAGTGGTTAAGAGCACGGACTCTAACCTGGGAGAACCGGGTTTGATTCCCCACGCCTCCACATACAGCTGCCGGTGTGACCTTGGGTCAGTCACAAGTTCTCTCAGAGCTGTTCTGTCATGAGCAGTCCTCGAAAGAGCTCTCTCAGCCCCACCAACTTCACAGGGTGTCTGTTGTGGGGAGAGGAAGGAAAAGGAGTTTGTAAGCCGCTCTGAGACTCCTTTGGGTAGTGAAGGGCGGGGTATAAATCCAATCTCCTCCTCCTCCTCCTTTTCTTCTTCCTTGGAGGAAGGCAGCTTTGACCCTTGAGGGCTCCTACTCCGAAAATCTTGTTGGTCTCGATAAGTCGCTGCCGGATTCCGATCTATTTATCTGTCATCGTCTTCCCAGCATCCTCCTCACTGTCCTCTTCTCCCGCCCAGATCTAGCGGCGTTGAATCTTAACAACGGTTCCAGCGGGGCTTCGGATCAAGACACCCTTGGCCCCCTCCCCCACTCGGCCACGCCTTGGCCCTTGGGGCAGGGCTATCCTTACCAGTACCCCCTTGCCCCTCCGTGTTTCCCGCCGGCCTACCAGGATCCCGGCTTCAGCTACGGGAGTGGCAGCGCAGGGAGCCAGCAAAGTGAAGGTAGGTCTTCTTGTAGAATCAGCTTCCGGGAGTCCATTCCATTCCTCCTGGCCGTTGGCTTACTCTCCTCTCCCCCTGCCCCCCTTTCCCCTTCCCTTCCCCCGCTTTGCTTTGCCCTGGCTTTTCTCATTGGTTCCCCGAGTGCCTCATGCATGGAGTGGATTCTTTTTGCGCCGTAGCAAATTGGCCGGCTGATGGTTATTTTAATGAAGCTGTCTGCATGGATTAGCAGTGTCTTGGCTCACCTTGTGGGGGGGGGGGGGGCTGTTTTGGTCTCCTCGGGCTGTCTCTTTACCTTGCCTGGTTGACTTTAACCATTTGCCGAATCCGCCGGAGGTCAGCGTTGGGAACACTCATGTTCAAATCCCGGCTCAGCCCTAGGCCTTCCTTCATAAGAACATAAGAGACGCCAATGTTGGATCAGGCCCAAGGCCCATCCCGTCCAACACTCTGTGTCACACAGTGGCCAGAAATACCAGGGGCCATCAGGAGGTCCACCAGTGGGGGGGCCAGGACACTAGAAGCCCTCTCACTGTTGCCCCCCCAAGCACCAAGAAGACAGAGCATCCCTTGCCCCAGAGTCCCTATCCATACCTTGTGGCTAATAGCCACTGATGGACCTCTGCTCCATATGCTTATCTAATTCCCTTTTGAAGCCGTCCATGCTTGTAGCCGCCACCACTTCCTGTGGCAGTGAATTCCAAGTGTTAATCACTCTTTGGGTGAAGAAGGACTTCACACAAGCTAGGGTGCTGCTTAACCGCCATTTTAGGAATCAGCAGAGAAGTGCGGCTGCTCGGAGAGTCACCCGCTTTGGGTCTGCAAAACTGAGTCCCTTTTGTTCAGCCTGCTTGAATATTAGGGGGTCTTTAGATTACAGGGAGGTCCATGTTCTATATGGATTTGGTGGCTTTATAGACAGCTGCCGCAGACCCTCATGTACATAGTCCATTGAAAATAATGGTCCCGAACTCCAGAACCACACTGAGTTGAGTCTCAAGCCAGTAATGTCCTACCTGAAAATAAGCAATCGTTGGTGAAATTCCCCTCCCCGAAAGGCCAGATCCAAAATTATGACAATTTTTTTTCTCTCATCATACACGCCTACCAGTTAGAATCATAGAGTTGGAAGGGACCTCCAGAGCCAGTTTGGTGTAGTGGTTAAGTGCGCGGACTCTAATCTGGGAGAACCGGGTTTGGTTCCCCACTCCTCCACTTGCACCTGGCTGGATGACCTTGGGCAAGCCATAGTTCTGATAGGAGCTGTCCTTGAAAAAGAGCAGTTTCTGTCAAGAGCTCTCTCAGCCCCACCTTCCTCACAGGCAATGTTCCCTCTAAGCTGTGGAGTCTTGTGAGCAAAACTTCTACTTTGTGAGCTACTGGCATTAAAGCTGTGAGTGAGTGATTTGGCTACAGCAGAAATTAGTTGGCTCTGGAGCCCTCCTTCCTGAGCCAAGGCAAAAATGTGTGAGCCGGGGGCTAAAAACCTGTGAGCTAGCTCACACTAACTCAGCTTAGAGGGAACACTGCTCACAGGGTGTCTGCTGTGGGGAGGGGAAGGGAAAGGAGTTTGTAAGCCGCTCTGAGACACCTTTGGGTAGTGAAGGGCGGGGTATAAATCCAATCCCTTCTCTTCTCTTCTTCTTCTCTTCATCTAGCCCCCTGCACAGTGCAGGAAATTCACAAATACCTCCCACCACACCCCCAGTGACTGCTGTTCCATGCCCAGAAGATGACAAAAAACCTCCAAGATCTCCAGCCAAACTGGCCTGGAGAGAAATTGCTTCCTGACCCCAGAGTGGCAATCAGCATTTCCTTGAGCATTGTTGTAGGATGCACACTTGACTAGCAACAGTATAGCTTTAAGCTTGGGGCCTTATATGAGTGAGCTGGGAGAATCTGGTGCCACAGCACTGCTGACGCCATGCAGAGATGAATCTAGTCTATCCTTTGGATTGGAGGCCCTAGGGCACCCCTGGGTGAAAACCATCACACAGAAATACACATTACACATAAACAATCAAAAAAAGTATGGATTGGCGAAATAACTAGAAGTGGACTATGTTCCTCTGGACCAGAAAGATAACAATCTCCACCAGCCCCAATCTTTTCCATATCCAAGTCAATGCTTGTAAGATACAGGTAGACTGCAAAGTTTGAGAACCCAAATCAGAAAACGTAATAGCGGGTTTTTCCCCAGTCTCATTTTCCTCGCTTGTGAGTTCCTGTTTTTTCAGAGGGGAGGGGGGGGTCTGTACATCACGTGTTTTCTTGCCTCTAGTGGTCGATTCAATATTGCGCAGGTTTATGTCTGGCATAAAAACCTGCAGTTTAAATCGGCAGGGAGATATGTCAGACGTAAACCAGTATAATATCATATCAGCCACTAAAGGAAGCAAAACGTGTGGAACAGGAAAAAAAACAACCCCAAAGAACAGGAACTTACAAATGAGAATGCGGAAAAGCACAGCGTCTTGCATGGTGGGAAAAACAGACTCCATAACTCTTCAGTGGTGCCCCAAAATCCGTCACTGGAGGCAGACTGTCTCATCTGGAGGACTGACCCTAGGTCGTATGCAGACCTGTCAGCCTGCAGTGGTTGTAGCATTGCTGCATCAATCATGTGGGCAATCCTGGAGCCAGCGTGCAACAATTCCCCAACCTGTATGAACCATAAGGGCCACAGATGCGTTGCATGAGCATGCCCAGGAAAAAATGGGTACTGGAGCCCAGAAGGTGCTTGGCTCTTCTTCCTCCTTCCTGCCTGGTGGCAACATTTCTGCTGTGGCTGCTGCTGCTGTGTCATTTTCCTTGGGGGGGTGTCTTTTTTGTAACTGCTATTCCCTTGTTTTGTCCTGAGCAAGCCTTAGACTGAAGGATTCCTAAAGGAATGGCTGGGATTGGTAAGCTTCTCGCACCTCTGTAAAAAGTACTCTTGGTCCATAGCATGATCATCTAGATTCTTGTACTCCTGTCCTTCTAAACATTTAGCTTGCTTCTCCCTTCTCTTTCCCCATCTTGCTTATTTTTGTTTGAGTTGTCTCCAGTGCCTCTCTACTGCTCAGGCTGTGAGCAGGGTGTCAGGTGTGTCTTGAGCAAGGGCTACTTGAAACCGGAATTGTCTGGAATGGATCAGCCGGTTTCAGTTAACAGATATCAGTTTCGAGGATGCAGATTCAAGTAGTGGGGGGAGGTTGAGTTATTCAGGACCTTGGAGAGTTCCCAAGTGAGCTAGATGTTGCTCTGGTAGAGTTTTTTTTTTTTTTTTTAAACACTCAATTGTGCAACAAAATTGTAAAGCAGATAAGTGGATTGGTCCAGGCTCTGCTCCTTAGCTGAAAGGAATATTTTGGAATCTTGCAAGGTGTCGCCAGGTGACCTGCGGTGGTGCTCTCATTTTGTCTGCTGGGAGCTTGCAAGGGAATCTAACCCTCTTCCACCCTCATGTCGTCTTCCTTTGCATGATCCACAGAGTACTTATTTTTGGTCTAGAACTCAGGCTGTCTTGAGGTCAGTGATCCCTGAGGCAGCTCCTGCTGACCTTCTTCTATAGAGGTTTCCTCTCCTCTTCCTCTGAGCCACTGCCGAAGGTGTCTGGGAACCAGGATGGGACAGTTCCCCTGCCTTTGCAAGCAAAGCAACTGCTTAAATGCTTTATCTTGCTGGCATCTGCCTTCTGTAGGGGGGTCCCGTGTTTGCACCTATGCAGTATCTCATCCCCTGTGGCATCTCTTGGCTCAACCTCTAGGGGAACTTTCTCAGAACTAGGCAGGTCACTTCCAAGCATTGGCATCCCTTCTCCAAGCAACATCAGCTGCTCTGCAACTGCATTTCCACTGTATTGCATGATTACATAATGTTAAAAACCACTGAAATGGGTCGGAATCTCAGAACTATTTGGAACTCGTGTTTGCGCAAAATGCTATGCTCCGTTTGGGCTTTGAGAGTCTTCTACTATGTTTCAGAGATTGTTCCTTTGCTTCCCTTACTTTGTTCATCTCAAAAGCCATCCTGTTTGTGCTATTTTGCTCTGTTGTTGCTTCTACACAGTTTCCGGGCATCCATGCATGATAGAATCTCATCCGCTTTTGTCTTAGTGACCATAATCAAGTCAAATCCTGTATCCGTCCGTGGCACGCAGACTTCTGTGCCATGCAGGATTGTTATCGTTGCTGTTCTATAATCATTCCAAGGGGAATCGATATAGCGGGCAGCAAAGGAAGTGCATTCAAGCTAACCCGCGTTCCTCACTTTCTTCCATTGACCCTTCCCATCTTCCCCTTCCCCCAGGAAGTAAAAGCAGCGGCTCTAACCGAAGCAACAGCGAGACTAGCCGAAGGGCGCTCAACCGGGAGAAGGATCGCAAATCGGCTGGCAGCGGCAGCGAGTCGGATCACACTGCCCGGAGCGGGGGAGGGGGTAGCATCGCGCGACACGAGCGGCCTCCCAGCCAGCTCAGCCACCGCAGCTACGTCTCCACCACCCCCAGCGAGAGGAGCCCCCACAGCCACCATTCGTATGGGCCCCCGGGAGTCCCCCCGCTTTACACCCTCCCAAAGCTGGGTTCCAAAGTCTACGGGACAAGCGGGCCTCCCGGAGGGCCTCCCGTACGAGAACTCGGCTCCGTCCCTCCTGAGCTGACGGGGAGCCGTCAGTCATTCCAGAAGGCCATGGGCAACCCTTGCGAATTCTTCGTCGATATTATGTGATCAGAAGTGCCTTCAGAGACTCTGCGATAAGGGTTGATTCCCCCCCCCCCCCCACCCGGGTTTTTTTTTTAGTCGGCGAATCGACGTCGGACGCTTAAAAAAAGCTGGTGGGGGGGAGGGTTAAACATTTTGACTGTTCTTGCATGTCACACCTTCCTGACTCTTGATTGTGTGTGTTGCAAACAAATGAGGAAGAGAAATTCTGGGATGTTGAATATCAGCGAATCAGTGGAATCTCCCATTTCCCCCTCCCCTTTATCTTTGTTTTTCTGAATGTGGTTGCTTGGTGTTCTCTACACATATAAGCTTTGTTCGTAGTGGCGCCTCTTCCCAGTGCAATTATACTGTGTCCTTCTTGGCTGAATCAAGGAATAAGATTTTGTATTACACTTTTCCCATCATGCATATTTGCACCTTTCTAAAAAAAAATGATATTTTTTTTCCTTTCAAGCCAAGTGTGTTGGCTACTTCTGATCTTATTTTATTTTTTGCTATAAGGACAATGCTAGCTAGCAGCTGTGAAATCTAGGGTGTGTCCAAGCTGAGATCCATTCTTGGAGGCTCTCTCCAGAGGAGGGTGATTCCGTACTGAGGTTGTTTTGTTTTGCTCAAATACTTACACAACTGCTCTAAGAAGGAAAAAGCCACTTGGTAGTGGGTGACATGCCGATTTCTGCGATATGTGATCACAGTTCTCCAGTAAGGACAAAGAAGAAAAAAGGGGGAAAAGACTGAACCTAAACCTAGAATTCAGAACCTAAAAAGGTTAGTCAAGAATAGAAGAGGGCCAACTCTAAAAATCTAATTATAAAACATACAAAGATATACATGTATGTATTCAACATAAATTAAAATAACAAACAAGGGCCCATTCCTACCTCACATACAAATATAAAAACATACAAGGGCTAATAAGATAGACCTAACGCGTTTCAGCCTTTACAGGACTTCCTCAGAGGTCTAATACAGACAGAACATGTTGGCTGATATGCAAAAATACATACAATCATACATATATGGAATAAAGACCAGAAACCAATTGTTCCAAAGTTTAACCACTGGGCAGAGAAAAGAAATACAAAAATACAAATGAAGCCTCCAGTGCAATCACCTGTCCAGTAGTACTTCTCTCTGGTCAACTGTATATTCTTCTGAGATTGTCAGCCAAATGTTCCCAATAAAATGTTCCTTAGATTAAAAGCAGTGTTGATCAAAAAGGTGTTGGGCCTATATACATGTATATTTTTGTATGTTTTATAATTAGATTTTTAGAGTTGGCCCTCTTCTATTCTTGACTAACCTTTTTAGGTTCTGAATCACAGTTCTCCAACCTGCACTTTGTAATGGGGCTTCTTGTTCTGTACTTACGGCAAAACATCGTCCTTGTGTTGGGTTACCGTGACCCTATCAGTATGTTGGTTCTGTGTGGAAAGAAGCCTCGGAGTGACTGTAGTGTCTGCCCGTTTCCAAAAGCTGCTACAGGCATCCATGCAGACAGGTCTGCTGTCCAACTCTTTCCTTGATATTGGTCGATTTCACATTACCCTTTTAAACCGCATGGTTTCCGTTATTGGCCTGTCACGGAGGAAACCAGTACAAGGGCAACTGTTTCATACAACATTTCCCTTCCGGTAAGGAGCCGTCTCTGAAGCACTGTGGCCATTTCTAACTGTGCCACTTCCTTTTCCCGCCATTTTTCTCCACGTGCACAGTCTCCCCGATAAAGTTTTCTTTTTTTAATGTTATATTGGGAGCGCTATGGCGCTGATTTAACATCATGTTTCAGTGTTATAGTACTCCCAATAGAACATTAAAAAAGGAGAGATTGGGCACTGGGGGGGGGGAGGTGTGAAAAACCCATCACTGGAGGAAGCTCTATGAGGCATTTTACACAGCCCACTGTAGCGATTCAGATCCGGAAGAAGGGATTGAAGACCTGAGGAAAGCAGTTTTCGTCAACAGCGCCTCAGACACGCTTCCCAAACAGGAGACAACCGGCATTGTATGAACAGGTAAATATATTCCGTTAGGGACCAGTTACTAAAATGGGTCTGTCTGAAATGACAGGGAAAAATCCGTTAGTAACCAGTTCCTGAAACGGAATAGATAGGCAGTTTGAAATCCTTCATAGATAAGCAGAAAACTGATGTTGCTGCCACCAGTTTCATTTATTCTCGGCGCTGTGTTGACCATAGAATCAAGGGAATACTTGACCCAGCACTCTTCATTCCTCTCTCTGGCACTGGTTGTTTTTTTCCTACATGGCACATGGGAGCACAATTCAGCTTGCCATCTGTATATTAAAAAGTCAACTTATCCTGAGTCCTTCACAACTCATTGTAGACCAGGTAATGAACAGGGAATCATAAAATCTGAGCCAAACAGCCGATGAGGCCACGATGGCATAGAAATGCACCGTTAAATTCGGAGGCAACCTTGTGACCTCTTAAAGAGAATATATCCAAGTATCTCCTCAGATGGTTCCCAGTTAAATTTTGGAGTGGCATCCCTCACACCCTGCAATGGGTGTAAATAGAATCACATTGTGAGTGTATGGGGGGGAAATGAATTGACTGACTTAACGCACTTTTGCTGCTGTGAAAACATACACCACCTTCTGATGTGGAGTGAGCGGAGGAGGAGAGGGAACAATTCCGCAGGTGTCTAGAGCAAGGAGAGGGGGGCTGGGGCTGGGCAAGCACCTATTGGCTGGTGCCTGTGTCGTTAGGAACAGACTGCTGGAGAAATGTTCATAATGGTTTGTGCAAGCAGTTTGTGGTTATTGTGGTGTGGGGTTTTTTTCGTTAGATGAAAGATGGATGCGTACACGAGTGCGTGAGTGAGCGCTGCTTAAAAAAAATTAGACCATTGATAGAATAAGGGGAGACCCAAGACTGAGAGCTTGGTCACGCGTTCGATTTATGAGGAATGTATGTGTGTAAGGAGGGGAAGCTTGGCTCATGCCAGGGGTGAAGAACACCCTGTCAAGAATGTGACACCTGTCTTGGCTTTAACATTGCCCACTCCTGGGCTCTAGTGACGAACCGTTCTGTCAAAAGCCCCAGGGCGAGTTGTTGTCCCTGTCCTAAGCAGAGATTAGCAGAGCTTTCCCATTTGCACAGAAGCCTTTTAGCTTAGTCCTCTGGAAGCCCGAAAAACCCTCTTCTCCCCGCACCCGCCTCTGCAGTGCTCTGCTGGCTGCTTTCATGTCTCTCATATTTATGGAGAAAGATTTCTTTCTGCATCAGTTTGATTGTTCATTTAAACAACTGAGTGATAATGCACCAAGCTAGATGGGACTCTGCCGATTTCCCAAACCAATGTCTCCTGCAGGTTTTTCAGGCTTGAAAGCAAATGGGGGTGGGGCAGGCCCATAGCTACAGTGGGGCATCCTGGGGCTAGGCCCCCTGACTTACTGGCAAGGCCCCGCGACTTCCCATCCAGCCCAGGGCCCCCAAGTGGTGGCGGATGCGAGGAAGGAGCCGGGTATTCCTTTCATTTGATTAGCCAGTAAAGTAAAGGTAAAGGTTCCCTTGCTCGAAAGCCAGTCGAATCCGACTCTAGGGTTGCGGTGCTCATCTTCGTTTCAAAGCCGAAGAGCCAGGGCTGTCCAAAGATGTATCCGTGGTCATGTGGCCGGCATGACTAAACACCAAGGCGCACTGAATGCTGTTACCTTCCCACCGAAGTGGTCCCTATTTATCTACTTGCAATTTCTTGCTTTCGAACTGCTAGGTTGGCAGGAGCTGGAACTAGAGACGGGAGCTCACTCCGTCACTCGGGTCTCGAACTGCTGAACTACTGACCTTCCACAGCCTGCAGTTCAGCGTCTTACCACTTGAGCCACTGCAGCTCCAGTGCCCCCTAAGAAATTTAAATGCCCCCCGACTAAAAAAAATCCTGGCTACGGACCCGGGGTGGGATATGGCTCATGTTGGGAGCTTAGGAGAAGGATTTCAAAAACATTCTTTCTCCCCATGCCTATTTCCCTTCCAGTCCAAGAGCTGGGTATGCTGATTTATGGTAACCCCGTAGGGTTTTCAAGGCAAGAGACGTTCAGAGGTAACTTACCATTGCCTGCCTCAGCGTCATGACCCTGGTATTCCTTGGAAGTCTCCCTTCCAAACACTAGCCAGGGCTTGTTACCCAAATGGGCCCATCGCCTGGTGTGCCAGAGTCCAATAATGAACACAGCCAGTTGGGATTTCCAAAAGCAGGCAAAAACCTTAATCGCAATGAAGGGAGATCCCTTGGGTAACAGGCCTACCCTGCTTAGCTTCTGGGATCTGATAAGATCAGGCTAGCCTGGGCTGTCCAGGTCAGGGCATGCCTGTTACGTTATGTTATTTTTATGTTATTGTTTTATGTTACGTTTTATGCCACGTTAACGTAACATAGAACATAACATAAAAAATAACATAACAGGCACTTGGTGGCTTCCTGCCCCGCAAAGCAAATAGAAGCTACGGAAAGAAGGTTGGAGGTCAAGGAAATTACACACAGGAGGAAGAGAAGTGTAAACTCCTTTCCCAAGGGCTGTGACCTTATTCCCGAATTGTTCTCCCTGTTCATAGCGTAACAGGCACTCGGAGGCTTCCTGCCCCACAAAGCAACTAGCAGCTCCGGAGAGAAGAGTGGAGGTCATGAAAATGACACGCAGGAGGAGGAAAGGTGTGAACTCCTTTCACCAGGGCCATGACCTTATTCCGCGATTGCCCCCCCCTCCCCGCTCTCCTCGTGGTTGCTGAAAAATCAAAATATAAGAG